TGGCGCGGCTCGTGGGCCAGTCGAGCTGCGCGGCTCGCGCCGCTTCGCGCTTCGCGCCAGCCCCGCCGCTCGACTGGCGCTCGCGCGAGCTCCGGCCGCGTTGGCCGCGGCGCCGCGGCGCAGGGCACCGGCTGGCGCGGCGCGTGGGCCAGTCGAGTTGCGCGGCTCGCGCCGCTTCGCGATTCGCGCCACGCCGCTCGACTGGCGCTCGCACGAGCTCCGGCCGCGTTGGCCGCGGCGCCGCGGCGCAGGGGCCAGGCGCGCCGCGCGCCGCGGTCGCTTCGCGCCCGGCCAGCCTGAGCCCCACCTCCCAATTGAGCCGCCCCCGGCATGCCGCCCCGGCGCGGCGCGGCCCGGGTAACATGGGCTTGTTGTTCGTCGTCTGGGCCTGCCTAAACCGGGTCGCGGCGCTCCGCGCCGTGACGCGTCTTGACGCCCCGGGCCCTGCAAGAAGGTTTGCTGCCCCGGCAAGCCCTCACAATACCCGTCTTGTGCGGCGTGCCGCCGCTTCGCCGCAGCCGATTTTTTTTTGTCGCCGGTCCCGTTGTGGTCCTTGGCCGTCGCGGTCTGGTGTATGCACACACGTGCCCCAGACGACGACGCGAAGTCCGACGACGACGACGTAGCGGACGTGATTTTCACTGCTTCTGAGCCTGATTCGCGTCGCGCTTGTCCCCAATGCGACCGTGCACGGATGAAGAGTTACGATCGCAAATGACAGCGTCCTGGTCAAACGACCAGGAACATCGTCCCGTGTGGTAGGCTGCTGGAGAAGCTCATGAAGTTCATCGGGCGGAACGCCGAGCTGCTCCTGAAAAATCCGGCCGAGCCCCACTGCTTCCGCGTCCACAAGGACCGCATCTACTACGTCTCCGAGACGCTCATGCGCATGTCGACGAACTTCAAGCGGAGCGACCTCCTGGCGCTCGGCACGTGCTTCGCGCGGCGCGGCGCCCGCGGTCGGCGCGCGGCCGGCGCGCGGCGCGCGCCCCCCCCCCCCCCCCGGGCCCCGGGGGCCGGCG